TGTCACCTTTTATGTAGCTAAGATTGGGACACCACAAGCAATAGGAGCATGTTTGCCATCCTTGTACACAAGGTTGCCTCTTGCAAAGGTTGCTAAAACTTTTCCGCTGAGTTTCGATCCCATATAGGCCGAGATATTCTGCACAAGTTGAAGTACATTTGATGAGCAAAAAAGAAAAAGAACAATTAAATCACGGTTAATGCAAATATATACCGGATGCTTAATGTATATAGGGTGATTATCGTCAAGTTCGAATTCCAGTTCAGGATCCCACACAACAATATCAGCATGATACCCAGTTGCAATTGCCCCCTGAAAATAAGATTTAAAGCTCGACATAAACACAATAGTCTTTATTATTACAACTAAAATAGCTGCATATTCGAACACTAATTAGGATGTCTGATAAACTTTCAATTTGTTGAAGCAAAAAAAACTATTATCAATTTAATTACCTTAAGATGCTGTCCTGCAAGCTTTGCTGGTTTTTCGCTCCACCATGAAACTAACTGATTGAGACTGATTCCATGTTTAAGTCCGTACGACCATGTCACAGGGAGAACAAACTGCGAAATCGATGGTAACCTCAGAATAATCGCCGAAAAAAAAAATGACCATAAATATATTTTTTAATCTCTATATGTTGCACTTATGATTATTCACCTGCAAAGACGAAATGCCACCCCACGCCCTCAGAAAGTCACCCTCGCCGAAGAGTTTAAGCTCTGGAACTGAGGGTGAGTGATCAGAACTCAACATATCAATGTGCCCATCCTAAAAATTGGAAGTAAATAAAAAACATAAGATAATATAAAAAGTACAAAAAAAAAATAAAAATAAAATAAAATAAGGGAGATAATTTGAAAACACAACAGGTGAAGTACCAGCAGAGCTGCCCATAGCTTTTCTCGATTATCAGCATCACGAATGGGTGGAGCACACTTGAATCGGGTGTCTCCATCGGGTATATCTTTGGCTGAAAAGGCCAAATAGTGGGGGCATGTTTCAACAGTAATGCTATCACCCCTACTTTTAGCTTCCTATACAGAGACACAAACACATTCGGGTTTAAGTTCCCGATCATTTTTCGAACATCCGTATATATGTAAACGAACTGTGAATAAGTTTGAACATTTTTTTTTTTTTTCAAAGGTTATAATACCTTGATGAGTTGTAAAGAGGACCTGGCATCAGCAAGATGAACAATGTGAAGATGAGCTCCCTCAGATGGACCTCCTGCTTGGGTATCCTTTGTTACAGTTAAAAGCTCACTTATTGCTCCTTCTTCCCTGAATATTTTTTTTTTAATTTTTTTTTTAAATAAGAATATGAAAAAAAAGAGCATATTATTATTGTTTTATTAGGTTAGAACTCATACCAGGAGGCAGGCCTAGTCTTGAGATATGTGGAGTAAGATCGAGGGTCGCCAGAATCTTGGTCCTCTTCAGTTTCTTGTGGGAGCTCGGCATGCACAAGAAGTGGCCTTTTGTATTTTGCCAGCACAGAAAGCCCTTCCTGCAGAAAAAATCGTCATTTATGGGCATAATTAGATATCCCGAAAGAGATATAGTATTTGAAGATCGAACTAAAATAGTTTATGGGATACCTTTATATGGCCGCTGTTCGTCATGGGAAAGTCGTTGATTCCTGAAGGGCACATGAAAGACTGCAGAGAAAAGATATTAAGAGAAAATGTCGAATGTTACACAAAAAAGCAAGGAGTAACATTCAAGATCCTGGAAAATTCAATATAATTATTTTTTTTTTCTTCAGAGCTCGATGTTAATTACCTTAATCTATATTGAACACCATATAATAAAATGGAAATGAAAATGCTGATGTATTTGACAGAGAGAAACTATGTTCAATGTGGATCATCTAAAAAGTTGACCTCAAATCCTCATTACACCGATGTATGCTATGTAAGAATTCTATTTTTTTTTTTTTTT